AAGCTATTGCCTTCAATGCATAGCTCCTTTTCCACCCACCCCCGCTTGACAACCCACTGACAGTGCTAGATTTATGCACCAATTTACCAACTCGCGCGTGCAATGCGCAGCTACCTACCCCCTCTCCCAAATCATGGGTGAACGAAACTGTGGCAGCTACAACCAGTGTACGACCAGTACGCGGTCCTTACAGCTGGCAATGATGATGATGATGATGATGATGATAGTCATCGGCGGGAGTTTGCGAACAACCGAGTCGGCCAATTCTTTCTGACTAATCGGCCGACCTTTCCTCACTAGGAATACGCCGCTGAAACCTGATTGATCTACGGTACACCTTGATACTGTAGACGGGCAGTCTGAATCTTCATGTGACTACTTACTATTAAACGGTCGTAAAGTCACGTCTGAATAGTCACTGAATGTGGTTCGAAGATGATATCAGTGACCACTCTGTGCTCACCTACAAGTCCTCAGTAAGGACGAAAGTGCTTGTCTGGATGAGGTTTTCCAAGCACACCTGTACCTTAAACATAGCTTACACTCAAATCGTGGGGTACGGTCCTTTTTTGTCATCTCTCCATGAAGCGCATATTGCTGAAGAGACATTCTGGAATTCTCCGAAAGTACCCAATCGAAACATGGGTGTCACCTCTGGAGTTTAATGCGCTAATCTCACAAGCTAGAATGAACTGAAAGGTATTCTGAAAACAAGAATGGTGCCTTCGTTGCCTTGGACGAACGGCCGAAATAACGCACAAACTTTGTGTTAATATCACCTTTGGTTGATCAGTCTTCCTTCTTTCCTATCGCATTTATTCTCATGAGCACATACCAAGGACGGGAAAGCGATGGCCTCTGGTTTTTATCGAATCAGAGCTTATTAGCGGTGCATATATTTTTTGCTGTCGAGGTTCGAACGCCAGACTTTTGATATGCGAACTGAGCGTCTTATCACTCTTCCAAAGGCGAACCATAGAAGCACCTGAATTACCATGCCTGAATGAAAGAACATATCCGCACTTGAGGGATGTGTTCCAATCTCTTAGGCATCTGTTTCACTCAACTTGACTTTTACGGAATTTGCTTTAGTGGCAAAACATACCTTTGGGTGGGTGGTGTGGCCACGAGTAGCTTCGTTGGACCAATCTTGACAGATTTACTTGCGACCCATGTCGAAACGAAGCTGAACTCGATCAACTTTCATGACACCAATCACTGTTCTGTGGATAACATTTTTGTCATGGTTGACCATACACAAAGTTGAAACAGCTTCTTATGCAGTTAACTGAATGCTGTGGAACACGAGAATACGTTGCAACTTTGAAGCTATGTTTTGATACGTACCAGGGGGTGAAGTCGAACTCACGATATGGAGGAAATACACATGGATCTAGCAGTTTTGTGCTCACCACTTACAAGCAGTGTTGTGCGAGCCTCACTGGATAGGGTAAGGAAGACTGCTTTCCGAACGTAGACAAGCATTTGATGATTTGGTACCGTTGTCGCGGGAGAATGGTTACCTAGACAGGTTCACTGGAGATCACAGAAAAACGTGAACATCAAAATAATTGACACTAGTGAGTTCTGACCTGCCTTTATCCAATTAGTCTATTACGGTGGTCGTGCGAATCCGTCGGTAACAAAGTTTCAACCATGAAGAGTGCCTGCCACACTGTCAAAGTCTCAAGGCTTTTCGATGTGACCCATGATCCAACACTTTTCACGAACGGCCGACTGTCCTTGTCTAATGAATCCCATTATTTTTATGAGAAACGTATGGATGCAGCGCTGTCCACCTCGGAGTCACAGGCTTGGATGAGTGAGCATATCGCTCGCTGTATGGAAGATGAGGTGCGGAGGAGACGGGAACAAAACAGAGGGTCTGAAATTTGCGTGTCTCCAAAACTGCCGATTGCATGCAAGACAGATGAGGTGACCACACTAATAATCAGGTGTTGTGCATAACCAAAAACGTGCAATTTATTCGAAATAGTTCCTATGTCAAGTTGTTACTTCCACGGTATGTATTTTATCGATGTTATTACCGTACACGGGTTTGTAAATTGCCATTTTGAAGTATATTGATTTATCACGTCTTTCTTCCATTACGTACTTCATGGGTTGAATAGAAATCACCCTGAACCAGTATCAGGTAGTCTATAGTTTTCGAGGTGTTTTTTTAATTTTTAGTATTCCTAGGTCGTTGTATTCAAGCCATCCGGTAGTCACACGAAATAGCAACGGCGAATGTCTAGTTGTCCTTCGCATGCGACCAACCGCTTGCATGTGGGCTTCGTGTGCGATCAGTTTGCTCATTTGACTGGTAATGCTGGGTGCCTTGATACATCCGAGGAAACCCACTGTGAATGGTTCACCGACGTGAGCTTGTCAGATCATATCACACTTCGGTCCGGCACTACTGAAGTCTTGGACCGTGGTGCTCCAAACGCGGTGATCTTAGGCCATTTGAGTACATGTATTATCCAAGCGGCGGACACCACGAATGTGGTAGACATCTAGCCAATTAGCATTGATTGTTTTGAGAAATATTTTGACGCATCCACCCAATCGATATTGCCGTGAACCACTGAAGACACACAAGACACTTGATTCATGAATTCCATGGGTGGTTTCAACGGGGTTGGAGCGGGCATTGTTGGACTTCTGTGGAAAGGAAAGAAAGCTAGATTAAGGTCACGTGGTCACGAGATATCCACTCGCATGCCCGAAGAGGCAAAAAGCCTTTCCAACCACTAGTCGTGCACATGCAACATATTACCACTTAGATTCAAAAGGCGACCAGAGTTGACTCAGATCGATGGTACTCGGGGGACAAAGACAATGTCTCAAATAGGAGTGTAGTTAGTACATGTTTCGAGTGCTGTACCATCTTAAACGTCTTCAGAACGACTGTTTGTTCCTATTACCTGATTGTGCAGACACCAGTCATAGCAAAATAGACAAGCCATGATTTTTATTTGATTGTGTATTTTCAGTTCGAAGGATCCGAGCTACCATTGGATCGTCGTGTGGGTATTTTCATCACAATGAACCCGGGTTACGCCGGCCGCACGGAACTTCCGGAATCAGTGAAGGCTCTATTCCGCCCGGTAGTTGTTATTGTGCCTGATCTCGAGTACATTTGTGAGATCATGCTTTTCTCACAGGGTTTTTTAACTGCCCGAGTAAGTTACCCAGTCATGTATGTATCTAATTCTGTCGTCGAAGTACCAAATGTTTGTGTTCCCTCCTTTAGAAAAGAGGGTTGATAGGCGTCTATTGGTGTGTAGTCAATATGAAACGAACCGTTCTAAGCTCTCCAACAAACAGAACTAAGAGTATATTTTCTACTGAGACCTACCAGGCCACCGAGTTTAATAACATCAGAAACATGCTGAAGCGTAACAACTATCTATATCTTTCAATGAGAAGACACTCGACGGGTCACAAACAGGAGGGACCCAGGAAACAGTACCATCTTACCAACAGTTCATATCTCACACGGCGCGTAAAGTGCTGAACGAATTTGTCCGAGGCTCAAAATTGACAACAAAACAGGCAGACACTTGGTACACCCTAGAGATCCCATCAACCTCAGTGATCAAACTGCGTACACAAAATCTCTTGTGAGGTTTGCAATGTTAACTGAATAGGAGAGGCGAACAGGCAACTCAGCGTGTTGCAGAACGCAAAAGACATGTACTCTTTCCGTCCTCAAGTCCCTCGCATTCCAAAATTCGGAAAAAACTCAGCGATTGCTCTGCAGACATTGATGGCAAGCCACAGTGTTGTGTTTGGCCATGCTTAGATGCCCCACAAGGTTAGCAGAACAATGAGCGGACGCCTTGGCAGTTCATACATATGCCCGCCAGTCAAAAAGGCAGTCAATCCATATCCGCTCTGTGATCAAGACTCAAAAGCACCAATCAATAAGTCGACATGCCGATCTCAGCTGCAACCCACGCACGTGTGACTCACATCTTAACCAGCCGAACAACCTGTTCAAGGTCGACCACACAGCGACGGCACCGGTCAACAGTTGTTGTTTTTGGCCAGTTATTTTTGCTGCTAACGCAGGTCAACCATGGTAATCGATGTTTTGAGTTGTTAGAAAAACCGGAACAGTAGTTTCCAGTCAGCTGGAAACAAGTCTGAACCGACTGAGAAATCAAAGTTCCAAAAGTGTTTGTTTACCGAAGTCTTCTGAAACGGTGCAGTTATGGTTGTTTTCACGTTCACATCACTCCTGTCTGACTAGTCCTCTCTCTGTCCTGTCGCAGCTACTATGCTGAGTTCATAACAGAGGGAGGAAGCATTGGACCCGAGTTTCACCCCTAATGGAGCTAATCAGCCTTGCGTGTCAAGGTCTGAATACTGGACATCGGGCATGCAAGGCGCGCACGAGAAGCACCTGAATTATCATGTCTGAACAGGTGAACATGTTTCCACCACTAATCAACTTAAGCGATTGTCATCCTGGTTTCATCTGGGACGTACACGGGAGAGCTAATCAGTTATCCATAACTGTTGTTGTTTCTGTCCCCCGTGTAGGAAATTTCTGGCAACCCTAGAGCCACAAGCTTCGTTCCAGCTGGGCTTGAATATGTTTTTTTCTCCACAGATGGCTGTATGCATCAAAAAGGCAACTTTTTCAGGTGTTTAAAAGGCGATGAATAACCTCAGTTTCCTGGTCAAACAATCATTTGTCGGTCCGCAGACGATCTGCTCCCATCAACATCCGGAAGTAGTCAGCTAACTACGGTTTCTCTTCTACTTTAGGATCTTGCTAAAAAAGTAACAGCGTTGTATCGATTGGCCAAGGAACAATTGTCGCAACAACACCACTACGATTTTGGTCTCCGTGCTCTGCGCTCACTTCTGGTTATGGCCGGTGTGATAAGACGAAAAAATCCCAATCTTCGTGAGGACCAACTTCTTATGCGAGCGTTACGTGATTCGAACATTCCAAAACTAGTTCATGAAGATGTGCCATTGTTTATGGGTTTGATCCAGGACTTGTTTCCTGGAATTGAATTTGAAGCGGCTCAAATGATCGCTGAACTGGTTGAGGCCTCACATGCGGTACTGGAACATTTGCAATACACTATCGTCGAAGAGCAAGTGAGTTTGGGTTTTATTTGAAATGAAAGCGCCTACGTTCACGTCCCTTCTCTTATGAAGTATATACATATGTTTATAACGGGCGCATTTTCTATGTATCGTTCATCTGTAGCACTCTTTCGGTGCCTTGCTGCCATGCCACCCGAAGGAAGCATCTCATCCGCCAGGTCTAGACAGGCGCATTTTCTACCACGGTATGATGCGATCTAAACAGGTTTTAGTTACGATAGAGTTCGGAAGTTTGCTAGCACTAGCTACCAGACATCAGGTTTCTGCTCAGTCCAAAAACAGCTAGGTTAACGTTTTTCTCAAACATCAGGTTTCTGCTCAATGAATGAAAAAGTCCAAAAACAGCTAGGTTGACGTTTTTCCGCCTGAGATAGTTGGTACTGGGACTCGCTTCGTCAGTAGAGACTGAATGAGGGGATGCCCCTGTATACTACACAGTAACATCGTATACTATTTGGTTTGATGAACTCTCATCAGTGGGGATCTCTGTTTAGGGTTATGAATTTCACTCAGTAGAAGGTGGCGCTGGGATAGGAGGCTAAAGGAATGATGAATTTAGCGAAATACACTCACTTGTAAACTAATTAAATTTTTTCGATAGACTCACCTGGAACCCAGCTGAATCTACCATTTGTGCGCCTACCTGATGAGCCCCAAGAAGGGTGAAACCGGTTGTGGGCTGTCGACGGATTTTCAGCAACCTTATGAGTAGTGCATTAAAAAATATACATGTACTGCGATATCTCGAATGTCGTAGCGACTGAAACATGCGGCGGCTTGGTGCAGCACATCCAGTTGCCTGGAAACATCACAAACGAGAGATTCAGCAGGGTTCTGTGTGAGTTTGTCGAAAAACCAAATTAAATTGCAAATGAGTGTGTTTCGCTAATTTCGTGCAGTTTGCTTTCAAGTAGAACATAAGGTTCACGGAAACTTGGGGACCGATGAGCCCCAAGAAGGGCGAAATCAGTCGTGAGCTGTCGACGATTTTTCAGCAACCTTATGAGTAGTGCATTACGAACGATTAACTTGCGACTAACTTGTTTAACTTACCTTCCCGATTGAACTAGCTATTAACAGTCATTCATAATTGTAGGGACCATGAAGTCGTTCTGTGTACTCTTTCAAAAATGAGTAACTTACTAAGTTCATCACAACACAGATGCATTGAAACCATTTCAGTTTAGTTGCTCAAGAATTGTTTATTTTGATGGAAGAAATCGATACGAACTCGTACATTAACTGAGCGGATGCCGTCAGTGTCCAGAAGTCAAACTTACTGCAAGACAGCTCACACTATATAGTCGTCGAGTGCTTGGAAAAAGTGTCATCGTTTGTGAAGTATCGGAACCTAGACATACGGCTAAGGTTACCAGTTGGCGATATTTCCATTGTGCACAAGTCACTTTGAAAGACTGATGTCTCTGGAGAGTGCACTGCCAATTACAGCGCCTTCGCAACCCATGTTCCCAGGCCAACTGGGACTACGATCAGCGAGCCAGATTTACCCGGCTTCCGACGAATGTGGTAGGCCTCATGAGGCATCTGTCTTGCATCTGTCTGGCCACGCCAACAGGTTAGACGGAAGCCGCATGGGTCGCCTAACGGTAGAACAACCTTGTATGTGTGGGGCGAACCTGGTTCACAGGCAGCTTCCGACGTGGTAGGCCTCATGAGGCATCTGTCTTGCATCTGTCTGGCCACGCCAACAGGTTAGACGGAAGCCGCATGGGTCGCCTAACGGTAGAACAACCTTGTATGTGTGGGGCGAACCTCGTTCACAGGCAAGCAATAAACATCAAATATTGTGTGGGAGTCATAAACGAACAAATCGAATTTTATATTTTGTTGGAGAGGGACTGCAACGGCCGGTGTGCGATTTGTCTAATTTTGTGAGGGTAAACTGGGCGACAAACTCGTAATGAATGCTCATACCTTCCATCTGTCACAATTTGTGGTCGTTCTGAGAGAACGGCATTACTGTAATGGCAGTTATGTAGTAATGATGATGATGATGATGATGAGAGTTGTAAGTCATGTGTAGAGTTGTAGGGTGACCTCTGCAAAGGTAACAGACCATAGTCAGGCTTGATCTGAATAGTTATTCAATTCGAGACCCGTGGTTTCCGTGTGCTCCATTTTTCTGTCAATCAGGTGGTGAAAATTGTCCAGCTTCATGAAACTCTACACTACCGACATTCGGTGATGGTTGTCGGTCCAACGTGTGGTGGAAAATCCGTAGTTCTGGAAGTTTACGTTCGGGCTCTGAAACAGTGAGTTGGCCACTGGCCCGAGTTGACCGCTTTTGAGCCTAGTCGTTTGAGCTAGTTGTGATTGTACTTTGTTTGCGAGGGTAAACCCCATTAAACGGCCGCATAAAATTTCGTCTTTCTTCACGTTTCATTTGCCAAACAGACTAGGAACAAATTCCAAAATGTACACGATCAACCCCAAAGATCGGAGTGTAAATGACCTCTACGGATACTTGGAACCGACCAGTCGTGAATGGATTGATGGATTGCTATCCTACCTTTTCCGATTGATCAACCAATTTACGGACGCCGCGGAACGCCGATTCCTCCTATTCGACGGTGATGTGGATGCTTTGTGGATTGAAAATATGAACTCGGTAATGGATGACAATAAGTTACTTACGCTGGTCAATGGAGAGCGCATTCGGCTACAACCCTACTGTTCACTATTGTTTGAGGTAGCTGACCTGCAATACGCTTCCCCAGCGACGGTGTCCCGCTGTGGCATGGTATATGTTGATCCAACCAATCTGGGTTACACACCTTACTGGCAAAGTTGGGTGGGTCCGCGTAACACACTTTCCTTTCCAAGCTTGTATATTACATTAGACGCTGGTAAAGTAGTCCACAACCTTCATGGATTCTTGAGCAGAGTGAGGTTTGCATCTATGTCAGTCAATAGCACAGAACATTTGTTAAGAGCTCACAATTCGGCAGCTCTGAGGCCTTCTCCCCCGTCAAATCATTTAAAATGTACTGTTGACTTTGAGTGAAAGAAGTAACCATCATTTTATAAAGGAAGCTACTCACAAGGTTGCTGAAAACTCGTCGACAGCCTACGACCGGTTTCGCCCTTCTTAGGGCTCATCAGGTAGGCGCAGTCCCCGAGTTTCCGTCAACTTTATATTCTGCTTTCCTTTATGAAAATATACTGCAATATCTCGAATATCGTACCAACTGAATCATGTGTGCAGCACATTCAGCTGTAGGATATCATAAACGAGAGATTCAGTTGAGTCACTCGTGAAAACCAAACTGATTTGCAAATGAGTGTATTGCTCGAAGAAACCATTATCATTTTACCCATCCAATCGGTTCATCCACTTTTTTCTCGACAGGTTTCTGGTGTTCCCATGTCAATGCAAAACACCTTGAACAATCTGTTCAAAAAGTATGTGGGTGTGATAATGGACTACATTTTCGATGGCATCCTACCACCCAGTATTGGTCGTCAGATGACTGCAGTACCACAGATCGGTGAGGAAAGAAATAAGGGTCGGCAAGAAAGTGGTGGGATGGGTATCGGTGGTGGCGGTATGGGTATTGCTGGCAAGGAGTCCGGTGCAAGTTCTGGGACCTCCAAATTGAAGCTGGTCTTACCTTTGGTCAAAATGAACTTGATTGTTCAGTTTTGTACGTTGTTACAAACTCAACTAGAGTTGGGAGGGCATCCAGGAATGGAGAAAACCGAAATTGAGGTCACTCAATGCCTTGATATTGAGTAAGTGTTTTTTCTCGGTTTGCTGCTCACGACAATCGATCTAAGATAGTAATGGATAAATGCGAGATGGAGTGACTACAGTAAATGCGATAATATCCTCATCTACAGTTGGAAAAACTCTGAACCAAGAGAAATAGTGAAACCTCAAACACATATCCCTCTGAAACGGAAGACCTTGTCCATCACCGAATCATTCAGAAGATCAATGCACTTTTCGGCGAAATATGCTGGTTGGGTATCAACCTGCTGAAAGGCCAAACTTTGTACCAGGTTATGCATTTAGCTATTTTCTCATATGGATGGATAGGTCGAAATATTTTTCTGACGGCGGCTGTAAAGGATTTTCAGCTAAACGGTATTGGGTCACGGATCAAAGTGTTGTCATCAATGCTGAGCTACCGTACAACCATGTTCATCAGAGCGATTCACGTGGCTTCCTTGCGAAGTCGCAAACCACATCAGGCGGGAATGTGAACTGTTGCACATCATCATCATCATCATCATCATCATCAACATCATTGACAGCATGACACCGATGCTTCACTGCCATACACTCATGATTTATTTGAAAGCCTTATTGTAAAGAAAAGAGTAAAGTTGGACGGGAAGGGACTTAGTGCTAGCTTACCACAATCATTCCGAGGTGCCTACACCTCCAGTCATTCACTCAGGCAATCTGGTTAGAAACTGACAACAAGCACGCCACTGACATCGGTTGGCAGCCATAACTTTTAGTGTCTCCAACCAGGCACAGTGAGGATCACGCAGTCCCCATCCTGGAAAGCGAGTAGCACCGACAGCACCCAAGCGTTTCGTGATCTCCTTTCATACTCCTTGCCAGGTCAAGGTTTGGTCACATAATCTTCACCAATGCACACTATACTTCAAGTATGAATGCATGGATTGTAACTGAGCGTGTTTTTGCACTTATGGAGCATATCACATTCTACCTTTGACTTCACTGGCACGAAGCCACCTTTCTCAGCCGAGGGGCAACTTACTTTCTCTGACCATCAGATTATGGTTTCGATTAAGCAGTTTGGGGAAGCCACAGATAAGTTAAGTCAAGAGTATCTGTTGTGGCTCAGCTGATGAGACACTCGTCCGACAAAGTAGAGGTCATGGTTTCGATCCCCGATCCCTATGTATATATTAGTCCGTATTGTGTATACTGTGGTCTAAAGAAGGTGAACATAACGGTGGTAACGGACTTTTGGCCTTTCCTGAAAGTGTTTTTTAGCAGGTAGAACCGTGGCTGACGGGAACTGCTTTTGTATACTACAGAAGGATGGTCACCCCCCGGCGAGCTATGAACCAAGGATACTGTTCTGACCGAGTACGTGCTCGTTGATGAAAGCGAAGTGTACTGAAAAGTTGAAAGCTGTGAAAGACTTTCTAGAACTCTAGCACATCAGCACCAGTCATATTAACTACCATGATTGTAAGACTCCACGGTAATATGCACTACTTTCATGCGAAGCGATCACGGATTAAACAGCAAAGTAGTAGGTAGACCGGGAGAGCCACGTGCATGTACGTCCACACAGTCATGGGTGTCCTGACGTGTATGTTCAGTCCTTGTTCAGTCCAAGACTAGTCGACCTAAGCAAATCGATGTTTCTTGTTCGTTCGTTTATACGGGCAAATGCAGAAAACCTCAGAGTTGTTTTCTCGCCTCACGAATGACTGAGAATTGTTGAAGAGAACTGCATACAAACAGTGCTGGTAGGCTTCTATTGTTCCCTTTTATTGAGGGCCTTCCACATGCTTTTTGGTTATCTTTGTAGGAGTGGATAAAAGTACTTACCAGACACATACGGATTATGGACTCTATCCATCTCTCGGCACGTGTAGGTATTACAATTTCTAATGGGAGACAATTCGAGTATCCTACTCACACTGGGTAGTACATTGAAGGGTATTTACGGAATTTACAGCTTATGGGGCCAGCCGAACTTAATCGTGAGAACCCTAAATTTAAGACTTGCTTATATTTTCCTCGCTGATTTTGCCTTCTTGCACCAATATTCTGATTGGTTTTGTGCGCAGAAACGCTCAAGAATCCGTCAAGTTTTCCATGCTCGAGAAAGCGTTACCACCGCTGCATCATGGCTCTATGTCGCCTTCGGTGCACGGTTCAACTCAGCAACAGATGTATCAACCATCAAGTTCGCTTTATGGTGCCACACCTTCTCTGTCACAAGCACTGTCCCAAGGGTTGAGCCATGATTCCAACAACGAAGTCACCATTGATAATCCGGACGTGTTAGAAAGCGTGTTCTTGTTTTCTCTGTGTTGGGCCTTTTCCGGTGTGGTCTCTGCAGCAGACCAAAGAACGTTCGATAACCTGATCAAGATATTGTCTTCTTTGCCTCAAATGGATGAAGGCCCTGGGGAGCAACCAGCCAGACCGGGTGAGTATGAGTTACACTCTTTTGGTCAAACGGATGTTCATCGGATTGCTGATAATAAACGTGTCCTATCCTACACCCTGGCACTGAAAAGGAGTTACAGTGGAACGAACGGGATTATTCATAGGCAAAATTGGGTCTTTGAGAACAGGCCGAAAATTACCGATACCATCTGAACAACTCTTGATCTGGAGATTTTTGGTTTCTTATTGCTCTGCCTTACTGCGTTTGTCCAGAAAATAGTTGGGCCGTTGTGCTTTTTCTGGGCTGCTACGCGCCGACCAAGTGCCATGGCGTAACAGTTTCATCATTTGATCGGTTGCGTACTTTACAAAGTTCACGTTAGTTCACGATTCTGAATTCGGTAAAGCATACTAATCGGTCATAGCGGTGAATAGTGTCACGTGAACTAACCTCCATACACGGGTGTTGCTTTCTTACCGAGATTCTCTTCCGAACTATGGTTCGAACTGTGGCCACACAGATTTGTTTCCATTCTTGTTTTTTATCCAACATCACGGCTGCACGTCTTCTCAGCTGCCATATTGCGTTTTGATGGAGCATCTTCTAAACTGGTGAATATATCTACACCATGTCAAGCATGCGTTTGAGGTCCTCTTGTTGAATAAACTAATAATACCGGCTTTGACAGAGTATCCAGAAAAGACAGTCCAGGGGAACTAAAGGTGATTTGTCAGGAAGATTCGTAAATTTCAGATTAACAGTGTTCCGGAAGTTTCTGATGCCTTATCTCCTGTTATTTCTGACGGCTGTCCCCGCTGCAGCGCCTCGTGCCGGAAAAATGATTCACCCATAAGGAACACAACAGGTCTTTTGCGAGCAAGCGAGTGTGGGAGTTTGAGTGCGAAAATTCAACGGCCTTAAGCTACTTTATCGGAGGGAACTGTTTGACCTTCGTCCAATGGTGTCTCGCGCTGTCTGGCTTTGACACAAGGCTGTCGCGCGATACATATTGAGGGGGCGTTGTCTGTCTCGTCAGCATCCAGCGGAGTTGAGGGTCTCAGTAGATTTCGGGCATTCGGTGGTTATTTCCAGGACTCTAACCTTCTTGATACTTCCAAAACTGCTAAGTGAAATATGACAGATAGCGATCGGAATGTCTGCACCAAAGAAACCAATGAGCTCGTGGCATGAAAGGGAAAGTAGACACATTAATCCTCGTGCTTTCCGACCCACTCTTTTTTTGGTGACAGATCGGAAACTTCATCCCAACCATCAGTCGGAGTTCACTGACCTCCGTACTCAGCCACGATAATACAAATTTGAATAATGGATTGAAGAACCCTGTGTGATATAGACCACCGCCGTAGGTAATGGTCGTATGCCATTAATGCTTTGCAATTCTGGTAGACAACACTTAAATTTCGAAACCCATTTTTGGTTTTTGAGAAATGCGATCTGCCCTGTGAAATTTAAAGACATGCTGCTAAGATTTGACACCACTGCTCGTTTCATTACCTCTCACCACGTAGTCTCACAAAGGTGTACAAATTGAATAGGGGATGGTTTCTCCTTTTCAACCAGGTACAATACCCATTCATTATCCTCTGCTGACCGACTATATGTTCAATAACTGCACCTTCTACTGGGTACCCTGGAAGAGTATGGTACCGAACTATATACACGATACGAGCGTATCATTCACGAGCATTTTGGTCCCCACGGTGGAAACTATCAAACTGAATTGGTTGGTGGAAGAACACCTAAAGGTAGTCGTGCATTGAATCTGTGCTGTTTTGGTTTTCCTCGGAGATGAAAAATTAGGTTTTCCTCTTTTCTCTTTCTCTCTCTCACTACTGAATGTTTGCTGGTAGCATTTGAAAAACATTAAAAAGAAGGACTCAGTCGTTTGCTGGTAGGGATCCGTTTAAGCCGCTGATTCCCAATCCCTGGTAAGAGATAAGCTACCTGGTGCAAGTTATTTGCCTCTAAAGACTTACGGAGAAGGTGATGGATTCAGCGTCCGAATTCCTCGTAATTTGAGCCGACTGTAGCTTGACGGAGAACACCCGATAAGTTGAGGATAGTTCAGCGTGTAGTTGCTGAGAACTGATATGTTCCCTAAAAGCTGAGGGGAGACAGATGTGTGATCCGAACCATTCGTGTTAATATTTGTAGAACCTCACGAATTCCAGGCATCTTGTGCTACTAGAGACATGCAATCTTGCACCCAAATGAGTAAGCCGGAGAACCTTCAAAGGGATACCAAAAGGCTTATCACCCTGAATGCCAGTTGGGGTGAGATGCCTGAGTGCCTTAGAGCGCGAATCCACTGATAGGAGAGTCCGTGGTTCAAACATGAACTCTGGCTGTCGGCTTCCCATGTCTCTGCTTGGGAGACCTAACAATATCTCAGTCCTTGTGCTTCATTTGAGTAGCATTGTAGCTAGGCACCGAAAGGATGTTACAGCTGAGCGATTCATATTTTCTATTTACTCGAATGCCAGTTACGTGACTAACAGGAGGACAACTGTTCAAACGAGTGATGTGAGCGTGACTTCTACAAATTCCGCGACCATCTGCAGCAAATATGATTTCGTCAGTCTTCCTTTAGGAGGAAATCTAGCCACAGACCACCTGACTTGGCATTTACATCACACACTTCAACAACTCGTTCCGGCCGCCTCACCCGGTGTGTGGTTTTACAGATACCTTTGCACCTAATAAAAATAAGCCGCCTTTTAACATCGAAAACATGAACTGAACATGGCTTGACAGCAAAATGCGTGTGAACTCTACGCCCAAACTTTCATCACATCAGAAATGAATGGAAATGTTACATAAGCACCACAGTACTCTTCCGAAGAACAACTCTGAATGGAGGCCTTGCCCCGAAAGAGCCTTCAGAAAGCAGTTCCCGGTAGATTCATAAATTGTCGCCTGTCTCTGAAGAGGATTGAAGTCCGATGACCATTTCGAAGGACGCAATTTCGGGAAGCAAGCCAATGCACCCAGGGGTTGTCAACTATTCAAAACCCACGTAAACCAGTTGAGCAAATTCAAAGTCGAATCCAGAGTCACTGCGCTTTCTAGTAAGTACAAAGGACTAGGTCAGGTTTGAATCATAACGTCTCTGTTTTGGATCCCAGATTTGAAAATCAGTGGTTATGGTGTGGTTGTTATAGCAGAATATTCATATTCATTTTATCGAATAGAATAGCCATCCGCTTTCGTCAGCAATATAGCAGCAACGAGTACGGGCTTTTAACTGCCATAAAATACTGAAGAAAGGACGAATTGGCCAGCCCGACTCAATAAAACCCCAGCGCACAAAGAAAGATAAATCAAAGCTTGGCAATACGAATCAAAAGTGACATGCTGTCCATTGGGTTCGGGTACATCCACTGATTTTTAGGGTGTTTGGTCACACGGATCTCGACTGGGAAGGTTCGGGAATTCGACGGTATGTGGTTTGACTGCAGTCGCTTTTATTTTGTGTTATAACTTGCTCCCCACGAAAGTTGGGCCAACAACGGTTTCCAAGGTCTTGCTTGAATAGACGAGCTCAGACATGCGTGGATTATGTGCCCCGGTGATTGTGATCTTTCCTCGAGTGCCGTCTGGCACACCACCATAGACGTGTTGAAATCAGCTGGCTCCTGCTGCGCTAGAAAGACAGCGGTGATTGAAAAATCTTTTGTGCCTAGGTGGATTCCAGGCGTGGATATCACGATATTGTATTAAGAACTGAGGAAAGGGAATAATTTTCGTTTTAATCACAGCCAGCTGGCCAAAGGTAACTTCACTCCCAATTGCGTTTCCGATGTATACCAGAATGCCTCTCCATGAATAAGCACGTCGGAGCTAATCAAACGCAACTTTCCCCTAATCATCCTACTCAGCTTCGTCACCCGCTGGTTGTCATCGGTGAGACAGGGACATCGAAAACAGCAACTATCGAAAGCACCTTGAAATCGCTCGACCCGGACACAAACAGCCAACTGATTTTGAACTTTTCCTCTCGAACCACTGGGAACGATGTGCGACGAATGTTGAATGCCAACGTGGAGAAACGTGCCAAAGGAGTTTACGGTCCGATTCCTGGAAAAAAACTGGTTGTCTTTATTGACGATATGAATATGCCCAAAGTAAGTGTGTCAATGTGGCTCAGTGGTTAGAGTGCGAACTCACTGACTGGAAGGTCTTTGGTGGAATCCGACCTCTGCTTCTTGACTTCCCCTCTCTTGATTAGGGCAACCTGGCAGTATCAAAGCTCTCGTGCTTCATTTTGGTGGCGTGGCAGTTAGGAACCGAAAGGGTGCTATAGCTGAACAGTTCTTCAATGTCAAAGCAATAGGTTACCTCTATTTCATATTGTCCCATGTTCCAGCGGTACTGACCACCAGAATGTGCATATCTTCTCTAATGAGCCTTAAGGTCAACCATGGGGAGTATGGAACCGTCAGGCTAACCATTCCATCGGCGGCCGTTTATTGAAAATAATTTCGGAGTATTCTAATCACATTTAAAACAAATCCCAACAGCATGTGTTTCATGGCGATGGGAAATTATACCATAAACTAGACTGTAGACTGTTGACCACATAGGACAAAAGTTTCAGCCACACACTTAGGTACGCTAACTGTAGACTACGCCGAGCACAATGTGTGACTCGAGGACTACTCATGAACTGCAGTATGTGGGATAATGTGCATCATTTCGCACTACAACGGTCCACTCTCAAGCAGATCCCCTCCGAAGAGAGGCCAATCCATCGCAGAGTCCACTACAAGGTTCCCAGTCAGCTGAATCCCAGTAGTCGGTTTCTGTCCCACGAAGAAAGGTCATGAAGAGTGTGAATCGACTCATTGATCGAAGGCAAAATTCAAGCTCGGGCAGCGTTTGCCATGGCTGTGTATAGCGAACCGAGCTTGGATCAGCTGACTATTCAAAATGAGTATTCTAATTGATCGATCCTTTAGATCACCGACCTGTGCTGTCATAGAACTGAAAAGGAGTTGTCCGAACAAACCGCGAAGAATGAACCATTTCGGTAGGTTTCCATCATCATCTTTGACAGCCAGACGACAGGAGAGCAGTGATACTTCACCGCCGTATAACTGTGTCGTTTTGTTTCAATTAAGCCCATGATGGAGGGCAGAAGAGTGGGATAGAGTGGGGAGCCTAGGGATAGTCCAAACCTCCAACACTCACTCAGGCAATCTGGATAGAGACTGACCGTTTGAACGCAACCGACAGTGATTAGCCTGGATAGTCCAAACTCCAACCACCAACCACGCAATCTGGATAGAGACTGACCGTTTGAACGCAACCGACAGTGATTAGCCTGGAGCTACCAAGGAAGGCAAACAACATCAACAGCACCTAGACTTTAATTGCCTGCGATTCGACACTGAGGTACCAATCTTGTCTAGTCTTACTTTTGTCAAGGTAATTAAATCCAGTTGCTGATAAGTTGGTTCTAGACTCCTCTTCTGCTAATCGTTCCAGTTTGTTTAAGATACATTCAAACGAACTAACAAGTGTACTTTGTAAGCGTGACTGAAGCCACGCGGATAGTCAGGATTTCACCATGTTTAGATCACATGAGCTTTCTCCTTACTTGTAATGCATCCCTGGAATCGAATTATGATTGCAGGAAGATGAGTATGGTACACAACAACCTATTGCACTTCTCCGTGTCGTCATCGGTCGTGGTGGCATGTACCAACAAGGAAGTGATTTGTCTTGGCGCTCTCTGAGAGATATGACTTATACGGCAGCCATTGGACCCACTGGTGGAGGGCGACAGAGCCTGGATCCACGATTCCTCTCCCTGTTCACAGTCTACCATGCTCTCCAACCATCCAGCGAAAGTTTGTTCAGTATTTTCAGCAGTATTCTTTCGAGTCATCTGTCCAACGGATTTTCAAGAAAGCTCCATGCTTATGTGGACAAATTCACCCACTTGAGTCTTCTGGTCTATCGGTAAGGCACAGACTATCCTCAATAATGTTATTACTATCTACGGAAGTGTAAAGTTTCATGGAACCGTTTTAGTGTTTCCTTTAACGTTTATTCGCATCTTTTACAGTCGCGAGAATAGTTTGAAACGAAAAGGTGACAGCATGCTGTTTAGCATTTGATGTTACTGTCTTGGAAGCGGTTATTGATTGATATAATACATGTTTTGGAGTATGCTAGAGAATTGTTTACTGTCGAATGTTCGGCATTTTCCTCAACACTTCCATCATTCTCAAGGAGAGCCTCACAATCACCATGCCATAAGCTTGCCCGATGTTCAGGAACCACTCTATGTTTGGATAACGAATGTGAACTTTAAACGTGAAAATCATACACAAAGCACGTCAACATTTCAAAGAAACTACTTCTGACGTGAACACAATTTGCTCGATGTTAGTAGTGTCATGCGATGCTGTGGCAAATGCTTGGACCAAATGGTCAGTGATCTCCAGGTGTCCGGTCAATTCGTCAGTCTGATAGTCCGCTACCCGTTTAGTTCGCTGCCCATTCATTACCCGAACCCATTGGGGTCACATCTAGTAAGTAAACTACAGCATCCGACTGGCAAAGGAAAGAAGACAACTGTGGCAACTCAGTTTTGATGGACATCATCAGTGTTGTCTTCTCGTTTGGTGATGAAGCGTTTGCAAGTCAATTGCCAAGCTCGGCGAACAGATCAACAGCCACCTGATCAACTTCCAGTTCCAACAGTAGTGATAACCATTCAGACAAACCTCCGATGAACTCTCCTGCGATAATCCTAGTGATGTGTATTTCAAGCTTAGTCCGGGCCAAGTCTAGTAGGGGATCGATAGGTGACACTACTGTAATTCTTGACGCTCGTAATTTTGGTTTCAGTCAGACGAAGATTTCAAGAACCACACAAGACTTCAAAACGGAACTACATGTCCCTTGACTAGGGATTATCAGAACTTCCGTGTTAGATCAACGCTTAATCTGGATAAATCATCTGGGTAGGTAAGGATAGCCAGGATTTGTACATCAAATCAAGCTTCGAAAGGACAATTAACCTAACTGATCGACTTAAACAACACACGTACCGCAGTCATCTGAACTGGAACTTATCCACTACAAACGTGGGAAAGTATGTTAACTGAGATAAAGAAGTTATGAGTGCAGTACGCGTTAGAAATAATTGGGAGCTCGAAGAGACGTAAGACCGTTGATTCTGGTACCGTTAAGTGTAAGGAAAAAGTACATGTGCAGAGAGTGACGCATCCCCAAGGTCACCATCCGTACGACACGTTTGGAAGGCAGCTGCGTTGGCGGAGCGCACCAACACGGCTTAGCAGCATAGGACCAGCGGAGTGGGCCTCAAAGTGTTCACGACCGGAACACCACCATTGGCTGTACAGAACAAACAAGTGAACGACCATATTTGGCCATCCAGTCATCCTATATATTTACGCAGAAGCTCTGTATGTTTTGCCCTGACATTACAGCCGTGTCCCGAGTTCTCTGTCTTCTCCTTATCGCGTAGTCTGGCAGGCTCAGTGCAGGGGTAAGCAATAGACGGCCACCCACGTTACAACATTAACGCTTTATTTCTATTCTTGATGTTCGAACTCGTAGGCAAGACCACGTTTGCGAAACATTCACGTGAAGTCTTTACTCTATCGTGACCTTGTGGACTGCTGATGGACCGAATGAAGCTTGGGATTTCATAACCGGCCGTGTACAGACAAACGAACAAAGCAGCCAATTCCATATAGTGACTTTCTTTGTATTCGGAACGACTCAGGGCAGCTGTGGATCTTGTAGTGTGCGGTTTCACATTTTCTTGCGTTCACAGGCGTTCCACCGAATTGAACGACATGTTTCTTCTAAAAAAGGAGCTGCGCGAAAGAATGAGTTCCTAGCACTAATATGCTTTCTTGTCTTTTGCCGAATGTGTTTCATTTTAACCGCCCGCAATAATTAAACGTGGTCACGAAAGGTCAGATTTGTGAAGTATGTTGTTTAGAGTTGATTCGTCTCAGAGGAATAGGGTGCTCAACTTTTTCTACAACAGTCTACTGCCCATTTATAAGGATAAACGGTGGGTGATATCTGCATATTTATCTTGGGTCTTTTGCACAATACTGAATGATGTCCTTCCAACACACAGGGAGATCCGACGTGAAATGTTGCCGACGCCGTTGAAGTTTCACTACACGTTCAATATGCGTGAACTATCTCGACTGCTCCAAGGGTTACTCCAGTCTTCTTCCGAGCGGTTCAAAGGACCAAAGAAATTCTTACGACTATGGCGTCACGAATGTTTGCGCGTGTTTCGTGACCGGATGGTGGATGAGACAGATGTAGCTGCAATTAACGTGAGTTGTAACCGTTCGGGTCATCCACCTACTCTGTGCAACACTGACTTCTGCTCGCTAAGGGACAGCAATCACCACGGGGTCAGATCCGCCTAACGGTTTGGAATGCGCTTCACACCTGCAAAGTGTAAAGTGCTACTGCAAGACTGGGTGGGCTCGAACCCTAACCTCATGCTTGCGGATGAACCGATTGAGGTAGTAGACAAATTTGTTTACCTGGGCAGCTGTATCAGTCCCGGTGGTCTGGCGAACGATGAAATTACCATCCGGATTGGGAAGGCCAGAGCAGCTTTTGCGAACCTACGTCACCTGTGGCGTAGGCGTGACATCAGCTTCTCTGTCAAGGGTCGAGTTTACAATGCTGCGGTGCGCTCCATATTACTATATGGATCAGAAACCTGGCCGCTGCGCGCCGAGGACGTCAAAAGACTTTCAGTGTTTGACCATCGATGTCTTGGGAGCATTGCCCGAGTCTGACGGAAACACTGGATCAGCAATGCTGAAGTTCGTCGAATGGTATTTGCGAGAAATAACTCACCCTCGATAGATGAACTGATCACACCGCTTAGGTTGCGCTGGCTTGGCCACGTGCCGCGTATGCCAGTCGACCGAATTCCTCAAAGATCTCTTTTCGCCCAACCAGGTGAAGGGTGGAAGAGAGCCAGAGGCGGTCAAAGAGAGACTTGGCAGCGAAGTGTGAAAGCCATTACTAGCAAACTCAGCTGCGCTGTTCATTGCCGTCTTCCTGGATGGGGATCCCGATTCGGGCCATATCAGTGGCTGGAGACATGGCCCAGACATGTCCCAGTCGCGCCCTCAATGGCGCTCATGCATCAAAGCTATTGCCCTCAATGCATAACCCCCTCCTCAGTTTGCCCACAAAACAGCCCTTTGACAGTGCTGTATTTACGCACGAATTTATCAGCTCCCGCCTCCAATGCGCAGCTACCTACCCCACCTCCCCGAATCATCGGTGAACGAAACTGTGGCAGCTACAACCACTGCACGACAAGTACGCGATTATTACAGCTGGCATTGATGATGATGATGAAGGGACAGTTTAGTTTAGTAAATAGTTCAGTAAATAATTAAACCGATACTGCATCAATTTGCATCTCATGTTTGCTCTTATTGATCTCCGTTTTCCACCGTGAGAAGGTTACTGCTGGATTTCATCACTATCAAAATGCCGTGTGTTTATTTAACAAACAGTAAATGCGTTCTGGGTGTATGCATAACCATCAACCGGCTAGTAACTACAGGCTATTTCTTAGACAGTGCAGATAACAAGTATGAGTGCCAGTACACGAACTTGTGAGCACGTGATCACTGCGCAACTGGACGTAGGTGTAGCTAAGTACTAACTTTAAGAGTGGAAGATTTGTACAGTGGATTCCGTTAAAGGCAACACAAGAAACATAAACATTGAACTAACCAGTACTTGACCAGTCCTAAGCGGGCCCTAGGTACACCAGTTTCGGCGCCACTATAAGTTGACTTCATGTCCACACGATGTGTGGCGAGGATTGCATGCTCATCAAACACCTGGTTTGAGTAAATAAATTAAGTAGTCACTCAACCCGTGTCGTTAGTGCACGTCAAACTTTTCTATTTAGTTGAACAATTTGGGCAACTTGGTCATTTCTGTCAAACTTCAATTGTCCAGTGAAAACCCATTAACCATAGTTCACGAGTTTTGTTGCATTAGCTAGGTTGTTCCACCAAGGCTTTTGCGGACGTGGTTGGATTTGGGGGGGGGGGTCCCATGGTTAATTACTGATAATAACTGCCTGTTCCAATATTGTTATGGAGACAAGACACAGTAGTTGGTGTGTTCCATACTTTAGAATTTGCACTCTATACTACCTCTGAACAACCTGCTTACTCTTCATCCAGCTGCCCTGCTTCTCTTGGCCTAACAGGATATTATTCTCCAGCGCATGAACGAAGCTTTCTCAGACGAGGTCAGTTATGCATCGATGGATCCCATTTTGTTCGGTGACTATTGGGCAGCGGCAAGTGAAGAAGATGCTCGACTGTATGAAGATATGCAAGACTATGAAGTGTGCAAAGCGATTGTGGAGGAAGTGAGTCAAAGGCTGGGAAGCCACTTTGGATTTCTTAGATGGAGTTTATAAGATAGACAGCCTACTTATTAGTAGTGTAGAATAATTATCAAAAGGTTCATTCCAAGGTTGTATCAATAGCGTCCCTCGAATTTTGGACGCCTTGCGGAGTACCGCTATCAGCAGAAAGTTGCTTTGAGACGTTGGTTTTGTCAGGAGTGACTACGATGAAGGTGGCAGAAATCTGAATAAAGACTTGCAGAAGGTCTGGCGAAAAACGTATAAACTGACCACGGCTCGTTTGCCTAAGAAAGCAGCAGAAAGCAGAAAGCTAGATTGTGAGGCTTTTGATAACTATCTTTAGCCCTAAGGCTGTGAAAATTAGCGCAGGTAATAATAGATTTTCACTTACCTTTCCAGTTGTTGTTTGGTTATCGTGAAACTGAAGGCAACATGGACCTGGTGTTATTCAACGACGCACTGGAACATTTGGGGGCCATCCACCGGATTCTTCGCTTGGATGGCGGTCATGCTCTGCTGGTCGGTCTGAGTGGTTCCGGGAGAAGGTCTTTGGCCAAACTGGCGGCGTACATTGCTGAAGTGAAAACTTTTGAGATTCTGCTCCGGCGTGGCTATTCGGAGAATGAATTTCGTGAGGACTTAAAGGCTCTGTATACTACTATGTCCACAGACAAAGATGATCACATGTTTTTGCTACCGGAGGAACACATTCAGAACGAATGTGAGTGCGTTCATAGTTACATCATATGCATTATCTAATTGGAGACCTGTTTAGTCGTGTCTGAGTCATACTGATTATCATCAATGACAGCAACACTGGTACTTGACTGCCAATTTATTTGTACATGATCATTCAATAGGAAACGAGCAGAAAAGAAGCAAGTAGCGCTTGGTACCGGTTTACTACTGACACCAGAGGTACTTGCACGTCCGCATACACGCCTGGTTTGGAAAGAACAGCCCATAAGCCCTGGGCACTGACTGGTGACCGTAGTTTGCAACATCTCCAACCTAGTACGTGAGAGGAATTACGCATAAGCTGTTCTAGAAGGGTGTCAGCANATTCCTGCTTTTTGTCCAAGAACAAACAGCGTGCATAGCACACGATAAACCGACCAAGTGATTCATGTGGGATAAACGATGAAGATAGTTTTGGTTGGATCTTCAAACAGTCACCTAAGGGTGACGATAAACCAGAATAAGAGTAGCAGTACGATGCTGCTCTATCCGAACGAATGCGGGCTATCTATGAACGTGATTCGACTCCTTCCCTCTGAGTAGCCATTCTTAACTGCAAAGCATTCTTCCTTCTTTATGAGATCTTCCGAATGTCTAAGGGACGGGAGTATTTGTTCAAAACCATAATTGATCACCGGAGATGGATGTTTTTCGTGATCGGAATCAGTTAGCTGTTACAACTAAGCGAATTCCACCGTTTTGTTGCTTCCGATACCCACAGCAAAAACGATGTGGTCTATCACCTCACTACTGAGGCTCCCGACTGCTCTTGCCCATTCTTGGACCCGCCAGTCTCTCGTGCCATGTCATACTTCTTGTCTGTGATGAAGAGGTTCGAATTCTACTTCTTGAACAAGCAAGAAACTAAGTTTGTTGTAGGATCTGGAGCAGTGTGACGATATCACACAAACTCGAAGATAGGCAGGAGGACGGTGGGGTCATATGTATTTTAGATATTGGTGTTGACACAGACAAGAAGACTGTGACAGACGGCAGATGGAACATTGGATGACACAGTTCAGACAGAGCATAAATGCAAATATACGATCTATACTAGCAAAGTTTATTGACTCGGAAGTGTGGCAACTGGTCAGTGCACTGAATGCATTTATGGAACAAACAAGAAGGTATACAGGAGGAGCAGAGGATTGCAACGGCCCGTGAGGACTGTCTCACTTTTGGGGGTAGACAACTGAAACTTTACGAATGAAAGTAAATATACCGAGCAGATCGAAAAGCTACATGTAGGGGGCAGCAGACGTGTACCGCGTCGTATTGTGCCGCAGCTCCAAGCGTGAGCCCTATCGCGTACCTTCGCACCTATATTGTTCGGAAACTGCGCAATAGTTAGATAGAGATACGGGCCATTATGGTGAATCTCACTAAGGATGGGACGACCTTTGACATGTCCTGAACAGAACGGCTTGGAATTTTTTCCCTGTGGGTCGACTTTGGTCACGTGGCTGTTGACTCGTGGCCAGGTCGGTGGCACCCTGAAATCCGTCCTAACCATCCATGTTTGATTCCTGGCAAGACTGACTTCTTAAAGGAAGCAATCAAGCATAGCGGCGACAAGCGGGAACACTGGTGAACAAACGTACGTATTTGTGACTGGGAGACGTAAGCAAGCAGTCGCCCATAGAAGTTCGCATTGGATAGAATAGGGGAATTTGGGGAATTCAGACAACTTGATAGTAGCCTGAGATGCAGTTTGAACGTTTTGATTCTCAGCTGGTCGAGTGTGCCGAAGGAAACAAAGAGCAAGAGAACATTTAAGTGTCTACTTAAGTAGGACTTGTGCCTTGAGATACAACTCGAAGGAAAAAACAAGCTAGAGAGACTGAACCTACGAGGCGAAAAGTGACCCGCCCGACGTGGGGCTCGAACCCACGACCCTGGGATTAAGAGTCCCATGCTCTACCGACTGAGCTAGCCGGGCACGACACGGTCGGTTGCCCTGCATTATGCGATAAAAACAAAAACACACAACACGCATGCAGAACACAATAGCCGCTGCCGACTGAAATGTGACACATTTACTCACACACGGCACATACAAAGTACATAAAATGACCAGTGCGAACAGGACACGGTAGACCACTGTAATACATAGATCATCTTGGTATCATGCACACCAGATCCGCGGGCATTGTGGCCTGACTTTATTCGATCAATAACAGGATGTAGCGCAACTCATCCCAGCATATTTTCCGAACCGATGCAATCGTCACTCTTCCTTAAAAATCAGCATTTCAACACAGAATACTCCTCTCCATAGCAGTTTTATCAAATCTACCAACAGTGATTCTCATAGAGGACTTTAGCACCAAACATGAAATGTTTTTAAGTATCATGATATGGAACTATTTTGATTTCTCTTAAATCATCTACCTGCAAATATGTTGGCGCGAACTGGATGTTCATTCAAATGTCGAACGCCTGTCGTGAAGTATCTAGGCAGTGAAGTTCGACATGTATGAGGTTAAGAGCGTTTTCATCCATAGATTTCATTGCTTTTGTCTTCCTTCAATGGATCGGTTGACAGTCACCTTATTCTCACGCTACTAGACTATCTGCCCAGGTATAGTAGAATATCTAAGACTGTCTTGTTTGATTTTGCAGTCAGCGGGACTCTGGCTACTTGTTCCGCTTTCACTCGGGGAATTCTGCATGGTCTTTTTCGTTCACCTTACCACTCAGTCATCTAAGCCACGTTATCCTCATTTATTCGTTTCAAGTGTAAGCCATTCTCTACCAGAACTATCATCCACCGTAATTTGTGCTCTCTCTCTCCTAATTGGCACCTTTTCTCACTTCGTAACAATCTATCATTCAACCTGTTTGTGCCGGGCGTTTATTGGTGGATATTTCAGACGACTTGGTGAAATTATGCCGAAGTGTTTGATAGCCTTTATGTGATAGCCTTGAAAATACACAAGCCTGAGAGAATTCACTTCAGGCTGCAGGACACGTGACTTGACCTGGTCAGGCAGTAGCGGCAGTATAACAAATCCGATTAGCCATTTGGCTAAATAGTTGGATGCCTCAAGCACGTTTGATATTGCTGATTTGAATGATACCTCATCACGTGTTGTTCAGAATGACTTGTTTTTGGTGTTTTTACATTGGTTGTCAATGACAGCATTCTTGGAGTTAATCAACAACATGCTAACCACGGGCTTTGTGAGTGCTCTGTTTGGGGAAGAGGAAAAGGACGAAATACAACAGAACATCTGGACAGAAGCAGAGGCACGAATACGAGCGGAGGCTCAGGCGACAGGTGCGCTCACTGTGTTGGTTAACAAAGAGACTGTATGGAACTATTTCCGGGCAGATTGTGCTTCTCGGCTTCATATAGTCTTGTGCATGAACCCAGCTGGTGATACACTTCGAACCAGATGTCGAGATTTTCCCGGGATCGTGAAATGCACAACCATCGATTGGTTTTTCCCATGGCCAGAACAGGCTTTATACGCTGTTGCCTGCAGTCTGATCGATCCGAAGGTTAGTTTTGATTAACCACTCACCAAGCTCTCATTGGTTGACTTAAGTTGAGCGAATCAGTCGACATGCATTTGATACGATCCGATGAAGTGAACATCTGGTTGTAATCCGTATGTTGATGAAATGCGACCACAGCTAGCTTGTCCGAACATTCCAAATTTTGGGATTCGGATTTGTGAGGACTTCTTCATAGCCTCCCTTTACCTATTCTTCCAGGTGTTTAGCGATTTCCACTTGTTTCTTGTCTAATGTGTCAGCTTGGCACAATCGCCTTCCCACCCGACACTGGTGTACTCGCATGTATGTCTGTTTGTGAACGCTCGTCATGCACCTGCTTATCCTCGCCTGAGAATCGGGTAGTCTCTTTACCACTCAGATCAATGTGCTGATCTCAGATGGAACGGTCAAAACGCCATATCGCTTCCCGTAGTCTTTCCGTTCCACACTAACGTGCGATGGTCATCCATAAACTTGTGCATCAGTTGTTGATCTTAAGAACACTACTTATAAGGTCACTGAAAGTACCTCGACAACCTACAACCACTTTCATCCTTCTTTGTCCCTCAGCATATGGACACAGTCTGCCAGTTTCCATCCATCCATGGAAAATTAAGGGTGGTTGCATACCCCTATTCACCCGTCTATACACAATACGCTATTTTTCAGCTGAATATGCTGGCCAAAGACCGCCTTATCTTTCGTAAGAACGCAGTAGATTGTCCATACGGGACACTACGTATGAGATCGGTTAAAACTTGTTACCAGCCCACGACAAGTTTCATTTTTTTGAAGGCTTATCAAGCAGATGCGATTCCTATCAACCCGAATCAATACGGTCACGTGCACGTTCATTCGAAGGATATAATGAGCGAGAGATTCTGTTGGGATTCAGTTGTGTTTCCCGTTAAAACCAAGCTGGTGTGCAAATGGGCATACTCTGCAAATTTTGGGTTAGAATTGAACTGCATCTGTCTGATGATTCTCGTGAAGGGTGATGCCCGGGCTGTTGTAGAGTCTTCAACCACTTGAATAGTGTGTGCTTTACAGGTAACGTGAAAGTAGTCATAATTTGTTCTGACATTTACTCCTCGACAGCTACGTTATGTTTTGTTGTGCAATCGGACACGTTTTCAATAGAGTCTGGTAGGCGAAAGTTGGCCTCACCGTTTTCTCCCAGCGTTTGATTTTTTGTCCCCATATTTTTTACGAAGCATAGGTTCATTTTTCTCCTCTGTACTTTACTTTTGGAAAATATGTCCGTTCAGAACGATTCTAATGTTCATTGATGGCTGGCTAGTTTACGTAGGTCTTTAATGGAACGACACTAAACTCGTAAAGTAACCTTCAACTTCTGCTTTCTATTCACAACGCAGTTTAGCCAGGTTCCATCTCCATACTGGGAAGCCGTCATTACCAACGTGGTGAACATCCACAGATCCGTCCAGAATGCGTCAGTGGAATACAAACGTCAGCTTCGTCGGATTAATTATGTGACCGCAACCAATTACATACTATTTATTACGGGTTTCCTCAAATTGTTGGAAGACAAAACGAAGTATGTTGGTCACCAGATTGGTTTTCCACTGTGCTACTGATCTTATTCGTACATTTGTAGTATGTCTGTCGTAGTTCAATGTGCGTACTATTTTATCAAGTGAAAGATCCAAACAAGATTCTCAATCGAAGGTCGTTTTTCAGTGAATACGAGACTCAGGTTTGTTATTCTCCTATTATTCCATTTCGATAACCTGAGCATTACTCACACTTCGAACCAGTTTTATTTGGGCTGCTTAGGAAGGTTAGTGAGTGATATTAAACCACACTTCTTCGGACAAGCGAAATATGATTGAATACATTTCTTACCTGTACTCAAAAATAGGGTTTACTTGAATTGGTTCTAATCTCTGAATATTTACACCAGATCTACATATTTTTTGCTCATTTGACAAGCTGAATTGCCTGAGCTCCATGTGCCTCATTTATGTGATAATTCTAAGCTACTTATTAAACTAAAGTAGTGTAGGGACTTATAGGAACACTAGCTTATATGAACTGAATAGAGAAACCAGCACCGTTTCAAGGAATCCCGTGTTCTCCATAAGTGTTCACGCTGCAGTTCATCCATTCTGGCTAGAGAGTAATATTCCCTGGGCGTTATTCAGGTATGATCTGATAAAGAAACAGAGTCTCGGACAGAAAAATGCGACACATCAACGACATACAACAGATAAAGTCGTGTTTTTTGGCATTATCGATGTGGGCCAGGCTACAGACTTTATGCTGAATGAGATAGATGGCCAACTGATGTAGGAATCCGAATTTGGCTGCCATGCGGGTTTTGGGAAGAGGATCCATGTGTTCAAGCGGCAATGCCACACACGGTTGCGCTGAGTTGCAAGCGCAACCAGCTGAACGCTCTGTACTCTGTTTAATGTCGAAAAAAGTGAGAATTCAGGATAAACGTAAGGACAGTTATAGAGTAATCCTTCGATCGCCTGTGCTTGTCAACTAATGTAAAGCCAACTGAGGGAGCTGATTACGCAAACGGTTGCTGAAACTGTCGTTGGTCAGGGAACTGAGGCAGCTCTGCTAAGTTTACCCAACAACAGATCGTGTTGTTTTTTAATGGCCAGTAAAACCAAGACGATCAGTACAGCACAGCTAGTTCTGTCGCCAGGTCTAGCATTCTCAAAGACGCCTTTGACCCTTCAGGCAAGGTTTGAGCATCTTCGAATTTTCAGCGGGAGTTCCCGTTTTTGCCAGATGCTGTGAGCTGATTAAATGGAGCGTTCTGAAAGTTCGGGCAGACATACTTGAAGAATTCTGCCTAAAGCCCGCCTTACACAGCTGATTCGCCATTCCAGAGCTTTATGCTTGCCACGCCTCATTAGCCGTGGGAAGGCTTGTCGACCGTCAATGTTCTTTGAAACAGCCTATCCGCATTAGTCCAGTGGATGTTCCTGGGTCCATTCAGGAGTTTGTTGCAATGCTTGAGTCACATTTTTGTGACCTCTGTTGCCGACTTTCTTGTCCTTTGCACTTGCATCTTGAATCGTCTGAACCGACTTGGTTCATGACCTATTTATGACTTTAAAACAATACTGAACTTCTCTGTGCCACCGATGCACTACGAATTCATCCACTTGTTCAATTTTGTTTTCTCCACCACTGTTCCCCAGCGTGTTTAAATGTTTGAGTCGGGCATTCTGACGGTCTCTTCACCTGTGTCTATATGTTGTCGCCCGATTGAACAGGAGAAGCAGCAAGAGCTTTCGTGCTCACTTGCTTTTATCAAGTCACTCAGAGGCTCTGAAGCCCAGTAGCTGTTTAGTTTGGCTATCAACATTGACAGGTGATTTGTCTCATAGCTAACGCTCACAACACTCATGCGACGAGCAGATTTCAGGTGTCTTGCCGGCAAACAATGGATGTCATATATTCTGATTTGGAGGCCGCAATTGGCACTGACTGTCCAGTTAGTATGGGTTCCTAGGGGGCCTGACCCCAACCAGTAATCCTGACGGATCTGTGTAGTAATTTAATGCAGGGAGAAGACAAAGTTCTTTTGTAGCTCATCGGCTGACTACTAAAAACGATAAGTTTACAGCAGGAAATGACTAGAAGGTGGACAGATGCAGTCACTAGCTCAGGCACTCAGGCTGTTTGTTCTATCTTGAATACTAGCCGATGGGGCAGGAAATTCTGTGCATTTAGGCTCAGTCGATAGTGGTTAGTTAACATGGCTTCAATAAACACTAGCGTTCCCATTAAGCTCATTTCGATTTGACTCATTCTTTTGAGCTCGTTGAAGATGCAAGAGGTCCGACTAAGGAGCTCGGTTCGTGCATGAAAACCATCCAGAGGCTGTCTAACAGGACTAGCAGCTATGACAAACTGGGAACTCAGCTGAAGGAATGACCAGTCACATAAAACTTTTGTTGGTTTGGACAGCTGTGTTTCCCTAGATGACATCAAAGGCTGTCTACCGCACACACACAAATATATACCCCAATCGGTGACGCACAAAGTGTATAAGATTTACTACCCAATGCTATCTGTTGCACAGCGTCCTCACAAGAAATCCTCCATGACGCATTTGTGATGTATTCGATTCAACCGAATCAGTGCTTTATGAGCCTTACGGTAAACAAAGTAATCTAGTACGTCGCTCTTATATGTTACTTCTTGGTACGTATCTGTCAGGAAAATAATGAAAATAGTGAAAATAATATCAGAAGCCACTCAAACCCCGGCAAAATCACAGTAGGAAAGCGGTGAAAAAACCAGCAGCCAATTGGATGCTCGGTCAGCCAATCAGTTCAGCAACAGCCGACGATGATGAGTGCTCAGCTAGCTCACAGAAGCAACGGTCGATGATGATGGATGTTCACCCAACGCCGATCGATCCGATTGGATCAAAGTCGAAAATGCGCTTCAAATACTGCTTGCTTTTTCGCAATATACCTTCTGTGTTCCTTGTCGGTGGGTTATTTTCCAACACTAAGGCACTGGAGCGGGGACGTCAGTTAGATACAACAGTATCCTAATATTTTTATAGGTGGAATATATACTAGTTTTAATTAACTACTTCACCATCGAATAGTGATGTGCCAGGGTGCACCGTCTTATCAACAGTTCCAGTAAATTAATACAGGTTCGGTTATTTTTTGCTTAGACGTAAAGTCTAAACTCCTACAATCCAAACCACCCCTAATTCGTTTGCGCATTTCAGCGAGAACATCGCGCAGCAAAAACGTCTTCAAGGTGGATTGGAAAAGCTTCATGAGACAGCCATTCAAATCGACGAACTCAATGTTAAGTTGGCGGTGCAGAAAGTTGTGCTTGAGGAGAAAACCACTGCCATCGAGGCGCTTATTGAAGAGATAAACGAAGCTACGATCGTTGCGACCGCGAAGAAAACCCAAGCCCAGGAGAAATCTGTTGAGCTAGGCAAGCAAGCCAAAGTGATTGTGGCTGAAAAGGTGCGTTCTGTTATCCTTTATTGTTTCCGTACAAACGTTTACGTCTTTTGGCCAGGCCAGGCACATTTAACCGCTGAATCTCCGCGCATCACTACTTAGTTGATGACGCTTTCTGCGCTTTGTAACCTGTGAAGAATATTTGTTTAACCTTCATCAAATGAAGCTTAGACTGATGGATCTGAATGGCGAGACATTTCGAGTTTGATATCCGTTCGGATGCCAATCATTCGTCACCAGTTTTTAGGGACTACGTATCCGCACCGATGGTTTTGGAAGTTTCCGCATTAATCAAGGTGTTTTCCTTTGGATGGGTAATCAGTGAGTTTCCTTTTAGGTTAAACTTGTACTCAGGTAAACCCTGTTAAGCACAGGTTGTCCAGTGATTAGCCAGTCACCCTCACTCAGTGGTGTTGTCTCACGTCCCCCCATGACTGAGGATAACCCATTTCACCATGGTAAGTGGGAGTGTAAACTAGGATACGGTCCAATGGTTTTTACTTACAGAATGGTAGTAAGCGGGTAAATTAACTGAGACGATCGCTTCACATGATAAAAACTCCCTTAGGGTTCAGGGTTACCAATGTCAAAACGGTGGGGTAGGTGGCTGCGCATTGGAGGCTCGAGCTGATAAATTAGTGCGTAAATACAGCACTGTAGGTGGACTGTCAAGTGGAGGGAGCTATGCATTGAAGACAATAACTTGGATGCATAAGCGCTGTTGGGGGCGTGACCGTGCCATGTCTGACAATGTCTCTAACCACTGATATGGCCCGTCTCGGAGTCCCCATCCAGGAAGACGGTGGTGACCAGCGCGGCTGAGTTTGTTAGTAACGGCTTTCACATTTCGCTGCCAAGTCATTGTTTCCCCGCCTCTGGCTCGTTTTCACCCTTCACATGGTTGTGCGAAAATCGCCCACCTCCCCGAATCATCGGTGAACGAAACTGTGGCAGCTACAACCACTGTATGACAAGAACGCGGTTATTACAGCTGGCATTGATGATGATGATGATGATGTCAAAATGGCAAATAATTAAGGTTTTGTAATGTCTTGCGGGGTATGTGAGCGGGATTTATTCAGTTTAGATGCTTCAAAGGGGCTGTGCAACGCCTCAGGCTGCACACTCCATGAGACGTCCTAACGTCACACAGAGACGCAAGGTTTTCCATTAGGACAACACTGGTTCCATGTTTAGACATCTGAAAGAGAATACCGAGGTACTTCTAAATGAAAATACTGTCCTTTGGTTCTATTTATCAGGAATTGGTTGACACTGAGGTCCCATCGCTTGTAAATATGATGTTTACTTCATTTATTTAACTGCTATCACGAGACAAGTGTGCGTTCAGTTTAGCAATACTGACTGAATTTTCCAGACCGGAAAGTATCACGAGGATTGTGTCGACATAAAATGCGAATTTAGCTTTAGCTAAGCTCTCTAAAAAAAGGCATGCGTGAACTACTTGTGTAGGTATCGTAAAATACTATCAACAGTTAACAGGTAAAGTTCCCATATATTCTATCATACAAAGAACCATGTGTTTTGAGACACGAGGGAATCTATATTGATTAGCAGATAATCGATCGCGTAATGGCGTGAAAATCAAAGAAACAATTTTCATGGAGTGGAATCTTGAGCCAAATTTAGATGAAAACTGAGAGCTCACTTTGATGCTTTTTTGCAATGTTGGATGACCCATTTTACTGTTGTTCATAGAAAGAAGCTGAGGCTGCGCTCGCGGAGGCTTTACCAGCTGTGGAAGCCGCGCGTAACGCTTTGGATGAATTGGAAAAGAATGATGTAACTGAGATTCGAGCTTTTGCCACACCACCAAAACCAGTAAGTGAAGGGCATAATTTGTCTCATTAATCGGCAAGATCTCACTCTTTGTCTTCAGCCATATTTTCTTGTAACCAAAACACGATGAAAAACAATATGGATGAGGTGAAGTTGATTTTGAATAGGATTTTTCAATCCGTACGGCCAGGGGATAGACAACTGATCTCTTCACATGGCCCCTGATCGGACTTTCAGATGTTTGAACTACTATTTCTACTGGCAAAGGAGCAATGTCCCAGTAAGACACAAACCATGTTGCCCAAGAGTACTCAAAGGCGAGGGAACAGAAAACGGCAAGGGCGAAAACGAGATTCTGAGGCAAGCTAAAACCGATGTTTGCTACGGTGTTGCCTATAAAGCTGATGTAGATTCTGACAGCCCACTACTAGTTCTGGCGTTTTCAAGTTTATCGGGTAGACGTAGTCCGGATTTTTTGACAATGTTATTTCATATGTGCGGATGGTTACTTAATCATGCACAGAAGGGGAGCAACTGGCCAAGGGTGCGGTAAATGAAGTTCAGGACGGTATCGTTTGGACGTAGGTTATTTCTGTGATTGTCTTTCAACTGAATGTCCACAGAAAAGATGGGAATCGAAGAAATGTAAGATGATGGGGTTATATAGGGAATTTTTAGTAATTATAAAGTCAAAACACAGTGCAGTGGAATAGGTTGTTGTAATCCGACGTTTCGGTTGCCGTGGGCGACCTTCGTCAAGGATTTCTACAATCAACTGAATACGACTCGAATGCAGAGACATTTGGGTCCGCTACAGTGTCTTATGATTGGTGCATCCCTGTGATCGGTTGGCAGTCAAATTGGGTCAGTGTGTGTGTGTGTGCGTGTGATTGTGTGTGCACTCTGATTAGGATGTGCCATCCGTTTGTTGTTGTGCAGGTTGTGATGTGTACTTTTTGAGATCCTTGCTTGACATCTGGTTACTAACCCGGCTAAGGTACGCAGTAAGTTCAATCCAGATGGACGGGATGCCGGCGCCATCACTCCAGTTGATGCAGTTCGGCTGTGTGTTGACCTCTAGGTTATGATGTTAGGGAGTAAACTGTTGGCTCGTTGAACTCGATTCCATCACATGAATCTCGGGTACACGAGCAGCACTGCAGTTCCTGTGTCGTGAGCAGATCGATATCGCTACTGCTGGACAGTACTCCTGATTTGTAGCATTCCACACACGCAGCTCTTTTCAGACAGTGTGTATCGGTTGCGTGTTCGGGAATTTTCGCCGTTCAAGGGGGCCTTGCTAACTGATTACACCCATGGCTGCGTCAATCAACTTGAGCGAGTAATCACACTACTCGTGCTCGGGTAAGTAGTAATGCTCTGGTTGGATTCTCATCGTTCACCGAAAATCCTCGGGTCACGGATTGGCTCATCCTAAGCTTTCTGATGTCAGCGACCTTGGTCAGTTGAACAAGCAACTTGTCTGGAGAGTCTATCGATTAGTTAGTTTTGTGTGATCCTTAAGACATCGGTTGGTTTGTTCGGTGCTGCCATCCGACTACCTTGTTTTCTCCGTCGGTGGACGAGTAGATCAATAAACACAACCGTACCGTCAAATTTTTGTGAAATCTACGAAAGCCCGAATGCTACATGTATTAGCGAGTGTTGATATCCATCTCGGTCTGTTTTACCAACCGAAACGTGCCCACATGCTCCTCAATTTACAATACACCAGGTTCAGATGGTCGGTGAGGCGTTGTGTCACATACTACAAGCTACCGAGATCAGTTGGAAAGCAGCCCGTGGTCTGATGGCGGACGCCAATTTCATCTCAAACCTTCAGCAGATGGACGTGGAAGCTATTCCATTGAAAAATATTCAAAATTTGAAAGGTTAGTTATTTCCGGCTGCTTTTTACGGTGCGGCCGATAACCAATTTGTTAACTGGTGAGGTGTTTTTTGGAGTACGTTTCTGAAGTTTGCCTTCGTAAGGTGAAGACAACATTGGCTGAATCATTCGGTACATGTATCTTGGAGCTAAATGGCGGTCAAAACCTGTCTGACGGTAGTTTGGAGCATCCCAGTTTTTCTACGGATGGATTGTGCTCATCAGTCGCTACATTTTTGTCTTGATGTTATCAGAGAGCGCCACATACATTAGTTAACCTCACTTACCGGATGTCTGTTCACGCAAATCGTTATCCACACCTCTAAACTTCGCCTCTCCCAGATTCCACTCAGCTGTTACAACAGTTTCCCATTGAATAAGCACTAACCTCCGTGGAGAGAACGATTTTCGTTACCGTAAAGCTCTGCTATCCCTCAAGAAGCAAAACCTCACAGAATACAACAAAATATGTCTTATGGGGAATATGAAATGCTTTTTTGTTATAAAGTAATTGATAGGCTACCACATTTGATCAAAGGTTATTCAGGTTAGACCACAGGCAGTTAGTTAAAGAAAGCAGAACGGCATTCCAGATACGTGTGTGAAAGAGATTCGTGCTTATTCCTGAAAGCGGATAATGCAAGCAATTTCTGGCACGGCTATCGATTTTTGTCTATCTCTTGTGAGCCAGAAGTTTGATGGTCAAGTTTTCTTCTACGCGAATTCTAGTTGGTGACTGATGAGCTCTACTCACCGTAAGAAGTCGTACTGCCGCGAACCACAAGGTGTACCTTGAATCGGTCCATAAGGCTGATGAACTGAGTTGCTTGATGACAGCTGCATTGCGTAGCTGTTAACTCAGCTGATCACGCCATGAGTTATTTCTTCTCCCCATATGCAAGACGCAGTTCGTTCAGCTCAGTCAAAAATTTCTTGGGAGACAATGATCGACTTCGCACGGAATGTAAAAAAATTCACAGCATCTATTCGCCTGCAACAAGTGGCCCGCTTGGGTCATTGCTACGTTAGTAATACGTGTTCGAGTACCTGAAGCTGTACTGTGTGCACAAAGGTGACTGTATCTGACCGGAGATACTTAAGGTCGAATAAGTAATGTCAAAGCCAAGCAAAAGATCACTAGATCGTGTTCCTATAGTGGGAGTTATATCTGCGGACTAAAACTCTGGGAAATTAAGGCGTGGACTAAAGACCATATACTGTCAGTAAAACCCTCCACAATGGGTCAGCGACTACCATGTTTTGTTCTGCTTACATTCAGGTCTTTTTTGGAATTGATCCGACACCCTACAATGATTCCGTCGTCTTTGATGTCGTCTTGGAACGCTGCTGGCGCTCCAGCGATATTTACCCTTTTGTCGCTATGCCTGTCAGTTGTCTCCCCACGTGTGAATGAGTCAATCAACGGGTTGTTCATCCGTTCTGGGTGAACCTCTCGGATTTGTCAAGAGTTTCAGTGACCACACTTGATTTTTAAAGGCCCAAATGAGCACAGTCCCTCGCACCCATAGAAGAAATTGGGCTACTTCTGCGGGCAGTGAATTCATCCTTTTTTAAATTGTGCCAACCGGTGCACATAGAAGGGACATATAACATTCACCCGTTTACTTGGATCGGTTCTCTTGATGATCCAAAATCTTTGTTGGATAACGGTCACAGGTTAAGTTTCACAGTGACCATCCAGTTGGTGGAAATAAAAGATGGTCGATTCGGTTGAAGAATACTGACTCTCAAGATGTTTTAGCAATTGGTAATAACTTGAGTTATTAAGTTTACCCTCACTCCCTGGGTGAAGGCAAGTGACATGATCTTTGGGCTACCATTTCGAACAAGAATGCCGTGGACTAATCATCTGATCGAACTACAGTCGTTGTACGCTGCACATTCTTCAGTAAACCACGTGTTGTATCTCTTCACCTGTCCTGACGCTACTGGGTTATAGTCACAAGACAAGAAGACGACCTAAAGGAACTGGGTATTAAGGCAATTACAAACTTCTATATATAT